TTTTTTATGAATATGTCATGTGTGTGTTTCGCTTAAGCCGAAATCTGCTCATGTGAACAATTGAGCGATCAGCGCTTTCTTTTGCTTTCGGTTTTATTCTCCCTTCGCTGCTTTCTCTTTCTCAAGGCGCCCTTGCGTGTTGTGCGTTATGCGTCTTGGCCTGCCATTTGTGCCTTTATTTATGCGCCATTTTACTTCGTTTTAGACGCCATTATGTGTGCGCAGCCACAAAAGACACACACACATACATTCACAAAAAATGCACATAAATCATATTAGCTGCTGCATGCTATTGGATTAGGGCTGCGGCGTGCAGGCAAGAAAATTCGTGCTAAATCATGTTACATTTTTCATATATTTCTGTAATGCAAATTATTGATTTGAAAAATAGTTTAGCTTTTATATAATATACGAATGCTTTGGGCTTGTAAAAACTTTGTGCCAAGTTTTTCTTTTAAAAATAAAAATTACTATTTTTATTAAGTTCTACATTTGTTTAGACTTAACAATTAGTTTTGATTTTATTTGCATTACCATATGCATATTATTTATGGACCTCTGATAATACCAGTCCACATCATATAGTGCCCTGGCTTTATATAGACAGAATTTTCTGCGATATTTGTCAGATGTGCAAAATATATAAGTGTGACGAGGCTCAAGGACATTAACGTGATAAATAGGAAGTCAGTCGACAAACAATTTATTTTTAAATGACAATAAGACAAAGTAAGAAATAATCGAAAATACAAAAAGCAATACTAGGTATATAGAAAAGCGTATTATAAAAATTGTCTCTTTTGAATCTTCTCTTTACCAATTGATAAAAAAAAAAAAAAATGTAGACCCATGTCCAGCAGCTTATAAGGCTGATAACCTTGAATCTACAAGCTGGTAATCGAATTAATAGATATATGTATATTCTTGATAAGTTCTTAGTAAAAGCTAAATAAAAATGAAAATACCAGAGATACCAGCTTCATTTAATTATTGTTCGCGGTTTCTTAGTTTTAACTTATCTGTATATTATAATGGATTTGACTATCAGATTTTATTACAGAAATTATCAGATGTTTTCCGACTTCATTAGGAAACTCATCCGCTAATGCCATTTACGTTTTGTAATTTTACTGCTTTTTCAAGGATCGCTTCTTTAAAAATTCGAATTTCGGATTGCGACAATTTAGACAAGCAATACATTTATTTCAAAGAAACCCCTCTTTTCTTGTCACTCCTTCTATATTTGATCAACAAAAAAATTTCATATACATTTTCGCTATCTTTGATTGTTTTAGTTGCAGATTGTAACTCTATTAGATGCCTTAGTTTAAGCTTAGTATTTAGTAAGTTTTGTGTAAAATTACGCTGCGCTTGCAATTGTTTTCAAGTCATATGACATTGCTTTCCAGCGAGGTTCCATCCAGTATTTTTTAAGCGAATTATGTGGCGAGTTCTGTAATTACTTGCAGTCTTATTTTTTGGGTAAAGCTACAAATGCCGGCGGTGCAATCAATTTCACGCTCACTTTCTTAGCAAAATAGCCACAGACAACACACACACACACACATACACAGTAAACAACAGGCAGCTTTCGTCTCGGCAGTGCAACTTAATTGTCTTTCAACTTTGTTGTTGACACAAAATGCTGCAAGTTGCAGCTAACTTTTGTGCCCCAAACCCCAACCATTTTCTACATAGATTTGAAGAAACCTAGCTCCGTCTCGACATTTTGTTGCCGGCAAGTAAAATGCATTTTGTGGCAACAGCTCCTCAAGTTATGCAACACACATTTTTCATTTAAGCTGCAATGTTTTCATTGCAACTTAAAGTGTGTGTAAGTGGTGTGTGTGTGTGTGGTTGTGCGTATAATTTTTACATTTCAGCTACATTGGGTTCTCCAGCTCGATTTTTGAACGCGTTCCGCATTCACTTAGTTTCGCTTTTCCTGCACATAAAAGCACTTGAATTGCATTAAATGCCAGCAAACTAACGCAATTTTCATGGCAATACTTGTATATACACGTAAATGTATGTTGAGGTATCTAGTATAGAACTCATTCACCCACATCCTGTTTATTGACACTATATGCATTGCATGTAATAAATGGATGGTTATATGAAGGACGAGGCGTCCATTGAAACATTTGTGCTGCCTTCCGCTCTTGAATGAATTAACTTTCTCTGCTCTATTGGTGCCACATCGTTCAGAAAGTGGTTAAGTCTGCTCGGTTGCTTAACATCTTGAATAGATGTTCGCCTAGTATGGAAATATTGTGTGGGCTGCCATTCATAATCATAGTGTGTTTGCTTCTTAATGCGAACCACACTGCGAAGACGCCTGCCTATATTCAGCTCTTGATGTCAATAAGTAGTTGTAAACAATGCATTAATTCTACGAAAGCGTTGCTTCAGTAACCGAACAAACCGACTAGTTCTTGGAATTTGAAAGTTCAAATTCACATTTTAAGCTTTGGATATTTATTAAATTATTCGATAAAATGCATTCGCAGTACTACTTCATATACAAATGCCACGAAATGCACAGCTTTACTATTATTTTTTCTTCTTTTTAATAAATTTCTTTTGAAACATAACTCACGGAAAAAAGAATGCAAGGATGAACGTTTTCTATACTTCTATACTTTCTATACTTCGTCTTTTCTATATTTATATGTATATATGTACATATATATACGAGCTTACATATATGTATATACATTTAATAATGTGTGGACGGACACTTTCCACGAATAACCTCTGACCAAGCCCGCATTTGCTTTCAATCAGTTATGCTTGAAATGAAATATTGACGCTCAATCCATCGCAAATCACCACAAAAATTTTGTTAAATAAGGAATTTCAATTTGAAAACAATAGTAGGAGATCACTTGCGACTATGAGTGCTAGTATCTATTTGGTATTTTCAAATTAAATTTCTTATCATTTCTATGTTAAGCATTTCTCATTAGTCTTTGCATATTCGATAAGCGTGCCTTAAAAGCATTGGAAATCTATATATTTTACAGCTGTTAAGTATCTATTTTAAATGTTAATATGCGCTGTCTGCTTACAGCTGTCAAGTATCTATTTTAAATGTTAACATGCGCTGTCTGCTTGCAGCTGTTAAGTATTGCATTCTCGTCTCTCTGTCGCTGTTAAAATGTCCCACATGGGCCTGAGAGTAGACATAAGCCTTGATTGAGTTCTAGTATCTGTTTGGTGTTTTCAAATGAAATTTCTTATCATTTCTATGTTAAGCATTTCTCATTAGTCTTTGCATATTCGATAAGCGTGCCTTAAAAGCATTGGAAATCTATATATTTTACAGCTATTAAGTATCTATTTTAAATGTTAATATGCGCTGTCTGCTTACAGCTGTCAAGTATCTATTTTAAATGTTAAATGTTAACATGCGCTGTCTGCTTGCAGCTGTTAAGTATTGCATTCTCGTCTCTCTGTCGCTGTTAAAATGTCCCACATGGGCCTGAGAGTAGGCATAAGCCGTGATTGAGTTCTAGTATCTGTTTGGTGTTTTCAAATGAAATTTCTTATCATTTCTATGTTAAGCATTTCTCATTAGTCTTTGCATATTCGATAGGCGTGCCTTAAAAGCATTGGAAATCTATATATTTTACAGCTGTTAAGTATCTATTTTAAATGTTAATATGCGCTGTCTGCTTACAGCTGTCAAGTATCTATTTTAAATGTTAGCATGCGCTGTCTGCTTGCAGCTGTTAAGTATTGCATTCTCGTCTCTCTGTCGCTGTTAAAATGTCCCACATGGGCCTGAGAGTAGACATAAGCCTTGATTGAGTTCTAGTATCTGTTTGGTGTTTTCAAATTAAATTTCTTATCATTTCTATGTTAATACAAGTATCATTAAACGTGAAGCATTTCTCATTATTCTTTGCATATTCGATAAGCCCGCCTTAAAAGCTTTGGAAATCTATTTATTTGAAATGTCAAATGTTAACATGCGCTGTCTGCTTACAGCTGTCAAGTATTGCATTCCCGCCTCTCTGTCGCTGTTAATATGTCCCACATGGGTCTGAGAGTAGGCAAAGGCCTTGATTGAATTTTATTACACGATTGCAGTTCGCTTTTAAATTATTAATGCCAGTGCAAGTCAAAAACAGTCTGCCTCTTTACTCTCCGTTCACTTTGAAGTGAAAATTGTTGTACATACATTTGTTCTTTTCCATACCGGCTAAATAGCGCTTTTTTATTTTAAACATATCGTATTGTGCAGGTGGTCGACTATAATTTGAATCCCGCTGCGGATTTTTTGTATATCCCTTGTGAGCTTTCATTGGCCATATTAAAAAAAAAAGCAACAACAGGTGGTAGGCGATGTGGGCTCATCATATTTTTCACTATTATTTGGCATCATATCTTGAAACCCATATTAGGTTGTCATAAACGTTCCAGAACAAGCTTTTTTACTTTAAATATATAATAAAAGGCATTTGGAGTAGAAACACATTGTGGTTTTATAACAACGAGAAGCTCTCTTGTTTAGTAATTTATTCATTATTTTGTTTTTATTACAACATATACATATTTCTCTTTGTTTTATTTGGCGCAAGCCAAAAAAGTTTGCTTAGCTTATGGTATTCCTACACTCAAAAAAAGGAATAGGCGTCGAGAGTCGCAGCATGTGGAAAATCGTATTAAATGTTTCTTTTTCTTTAAACATTTAAAATTACACGCTGCCTAAACATAAATTATGTATGCATTTATGTATATAGTATATATGTATGTATATATATATTAATATAATTTTATAATTTCACATATGCCTAATTGAAATGACTAACAAACACAGCTAGATGTGATTGGAATTTTGGACATAAGTTATGCATATTCACTATATAATAAGTATGTATGTAAATGTATTCTACTATATACTTTTATATATTTAGGTTGGGGTACTACATACACATACAACTAAGCATTAAAAAAGAGCTCTTGAATTGTGGATTTGCAACAATTGAACGAAATGCGTTTGGCTTAAATATACATTCACTTATTTGTAGGTACAGTTACGTTACATAAAGCTACACAAATGTTGGCATGAAATGAAAGGTACAGTCACGCCAAAATACTTTAAAATCAATCACACAGTTTGACACACACTCTCAATGATATGAATGAGTTTAGTTTTTGCTTGTTTTAGGTACAGTTGCTACACAGCTACAAAAGTTCGAGGAGTTGCATTTGCATTTTACGATTAGTTATGAATCACCCTGTAGTTGACATTTGATTACACGCTAATAAGTACAAACACACAAATTACGTTTAAGTTGTCGTCATTTTCGTTCGGTTTTGATTAGTTTCCCGCCATGGGCTATAAATTCTTTTAGCATTCGTCATCGGTGATTGTATAACTGCCACGAAACTCACTTAGCGGCGTCGCATTCGCCGTGGATGGCGTCATGAGTGGGGCGCCCTGAAAGGAAATGGCCAGCGGCAGTGCCGAGGGGGCGCACAGACTCAGCGCGCTGCGTTCTTCCGTCACGGACCGATAGCGCAATGGGCGACCGGAACTGCAAATTGACAAATTCAAAGTGATGAAGTTACTTATTACTCCGTTTTTGGTTTTTATAGTCAATTGAGTTGTTTAACAAAACTTTTCAGTTAGTTTAAGTTTAGTTTAAGTTACTTCACATACTCATTACAAACTAGGGATGTAAATCGAAGGGAAAACATCGATGTTGATGTACATCGATGTCTCTTTATAAAAAATCGGAGCATGGTCGATGCATCGCAAAAAAACATCGATGTTTTAAAAATAACTTTCCATAGAAAAAAAGCTATTATTAGGGCGCAAATCAACATAGATGCTTGAAATAAAAAATGTTTATATATCAAGAAAGACTGTCATAGCATTTTACTTAATGTTGTTAATTAAAATAGTACTCGTAATATTGACTTTTGATGAACTTGTATGGCTTACAGTTTTTAAAACAACGACGCGTTGCAGCTACACCTTTTAGACATATTAAGTGTGACATTATATACGAAAAACCGAAGATCAAATACTTAACAATCTAAAATGTATATTATAAAATACACATTTTAACGAAAACATCAAATAATTTATAATATAAATATACCTTCTTCGGTAAACCACACAAAGAAATGTGACCGCCCAACAAAACATGAATAATGTTCGATGTTTGGACAAACATCGATGGATCGACGATGCATCGTTAGCAAAAACACATCGGAAAACATCGATGCGTCGTCGATGCTTGACACATCGATGTTTTTGTACATCCCTATTACAAACCACTATTTGATCGATAATATTTGATATTTTTTACAAAATTGCTACACGTAGCTCTTGACTTATCGAATATTCGTTATGTTCTCGATCGATTAACAATAGAGAGACGATTCAGATAACACTTCAAAAGCTATATACATTTTTAGAGAACAGCATATTTTTTATGTTAATTCAAACAATAGAAAAAGGAGGTAAGTAAGGAATAAAAAGATGGAACATAAATTAAAACCCACATAGAACTGTTATATTTGCCTTTAAGTTTCGATAAGTGTTTTCCGTAGACTAAAACTACCATAGATGGACACTCAACACTTTAATTCTATTTGGGTGTGCAACAAATTGAACAAATTGAACCCCTTTTTTTGGGAAAATAAACTTGGATCGGCTTTTTTTTGATACTTACCGCTCGCAATTGCATTTGAGGAGACGTATGAAGGCCGCACGAAAGGTACGATTGAATATTGTGTATATAATCGGATTGATGGTGGATGAGACATAGCCGAGCCAGAGGCAGGTGTTAACCACGTGTTCGGGCACTTGGCATTCGGGACAGGCGGCGAATATGATGTTTAGTATGAAAAAGGGTGACCAGCACAGCACAAAGGTGAAGAAGACGAGTCCCAATACTTTTGTTGCCTTCTGTTCGGTGGCTACAGCATTTGCCGACAGACTGTTGCGTTTGCTGCGATTGTTCAGGAAGCTGTGAAATATGTATATATATATATATGTGTGTGTGTGTGAGGAGGGGAAAAAAATACAAAAATTTGACTTGGGCCCCAATTGTTGGCACAATTTCCCCTGCTACTCACCGCAAATTGAGTGTCGGTGTGGCCACGCGATTCAAAGCGAACTTGAACGGACGCAGTTTGTGGCGACGCGCCTCTCGCTCTTGTTCCTGTTCCTGCTCCTGCTCCCTGTCCCTATCCCGCTCCCTCTCCCTTTCTCTATCCCTGTCCTGCGCAGTCATCGCATGATGATTGCCTTTGCCGGAGCTGCTGCCTTGTATGGTCGCAATGCTGATGATGCTGGAACTACCGCCCATGCTGCCAGGTGTTGTACAGCTTGTTGCTGTTGTTGTTGTTGTTGTAGCTGCTCCGGCTCCACCACCACCTCCACCACCACCACCACCACGACCGCCTCCCTTGCCCCCACCATTGCCATTGCCATTTGTTGTGTAACCCAATTGCGGTTGCGAGATACTCACGCGTACTGAGGCGCGTCGGTTTGGATGGCTGCAAGCAAGAAAGTGTGATGCTGGTTTAGATTGTTGTTGTTTTTAAAATATCCCCTACCCAAAAGGTGAAAAGGGTATATCAGGCTTGTGTAAATGTATGCAACAGACAGAAGGAATCCATAAATTATATAAAGCAAATAAATATTCATACATATGTGCCCTTTTGTCTGTCTATATGAACGTCTTGTTTTCGAATAAGGCTGAGCCCACGTCCACAAAACCTGGTATATAGACCGTTCTAATTCTTATGTAGTATGAGTTTATTTTATTACAGTATGTACTCCAAATTTTCAGAGAAAAATATGTAAAAGGAGCATACGATGATGATATTATTACAGAGCAAAAATAATTAAAAGCTGCACAGAAAAATAAATATCTCTATTAAATTGTTTCGGTGGTGTTTCAAGAAGCCTAGTAAAGGGTATTTCACTGTCGGCCTATCTCGTCTTCAATATTTTGCCTTTCTTTTTGCGGTTGCCTGTGGTGCGAATTTCCTTGAGCGCTACTCACAGCTATTTGATATTAGATTTAAGCTTTTTGATTGTGCCACTCACTACCCTCAACAGTTGATAAAATTGACTTTTAACCTGCGATGGCTGCCGCCTCCAAAGGACCTCCTCCACCTAAATGTAATGAGAAGTGTTTGCATATGTAAAAGCTAAAGCTGAACCTAAATCTGATATAGACAGGCGGCCGCGGGTAGCAGCTGTTTGGCAAACTGTTGTTGTTCTTGTTTTTATTTTGATTAGCAAAGTGGCGCCGGAATTGGCCAGAAGGACGAGGGCGCCTGTTAGTTAGTTGTAAACTGATTTGCTTGCCTCTGGCTTTCTGGCTCACGGCACACCAGTTTGAAAGGTGCGGGAGTTACGTGTAACAGGCAGTTAAGTAGCTGCCAGAATGCCACAAATAAGGAAGCAAATTGTGAATATTTTAGTGGGATTTTAGTGAAGCATTATAGCAGATAGTTTGCAATAGCACTTGTATTACCAATAATTGGCACAACAATTTCCAGGTCATAAGGGGAGAAAGTGAAAGTGACGCATAGAATTAGAAGGAGTGGTTATCAATTAACAATTAAATGTGGTTTGGTAAATCCGAATATGAAATAAAAAACCAGGGACCGCAAATAATGATTATTTTGTTTTTTTTTAAACTAAAAAATCATTCACTTATAGTAACTTTTGGAAAGCGAGGAATTTACTGGCATCCTTTTTCAAGGATTATGTATGTATTTTCACATTCGCATTTGTGATTTTAAAAATAAATTATTAATTAAGTAATTATTTAGTTAATTAAAAATGTTCGCCTTGACTTACTGATTAAGGATATATATATAATCCTTATGAATCACGCAAAATTTCAGCTTGAGTTTTATTTTTGATCAAAAAAATAAAAGTCAAAGAATAATCATTATTTTATGAGTTTTATTTTTTTGCTCATCAATAATGATTATCGGTTAATTTTTAAAGTAAAACTCAAAATTAATCATGAAATTGTGAGCGAATTAATAAAATGAAAAAAATTCATTATTTTGTAATTTTTTTTAATAACACATAATAATTACAGTCCCTGTAAAAAACAAAATATTATTGTAGGACTGTGCAAAGCATATTTAAGAGGTAGATTCACTGGACCTTGTCGTTCCCTATCTGAAACATTTGAAAAATATTTAGAAACGTTCTAAACAGACTTCATTCTCTTTACTCAATATTGATATAAGAAATTATGTCAAGATTATTTTTGAAATCTGTTCTATTCCTCCATAGAAGTAATTCTTTACGAAGCTGTTTATTGAATGGTATGGCAAGCAGGCCAGAAGCTGATAAGAGTATCAATATTGAAAGGTGGAGGAAGTTTGCATTTCTTCAAGTAACGAAACAATATTCTTAAATTCTCCCATCACCAAGAAAACAGAAAATTAAATTTAAAAATTGGTTTTAAAAAAATTAAGGAGCAGGTAAGAGACCTTTGTGTTCAGAAGAAGCCTAAAAAGAAAGCTAAAGAGCTTAGTGTTTATAATAAAAGATTTTTGCTTCTTATAAAGATAAAACAAGTGAGAAAAGATTTTTAAGTTGTTGTTGAAACTTTTAAAAATGAATATGCTAAGAAAAGCGTTAATATTAATTAGTTAAGCTGTTCACAAATTGATTTTTGGTGATATTTTCTTTAAGGTATATAAAGGATTTGTTTGGAAGTCGTTAATATTATATATAAGCAGTGATAAAGATTTTCTTTAACGACCAACAAAATCAGGTACAGAAAATAGAGAAATTTTTTGTGAAAATAAATTCTACTACCAAGAACTAGATCATTAAAATAAAAGTTGAAATGCTAGACTTTCAAATGAAACTTTAAGTTACAAATAAAAAAATAGAAATTATATAGTTAGTGATCATAACTGCCTTCCATTATATTTCTCTTACCAAACAAAAACTCTACTCTCCTTAAACAATAAGTTTTGTGTTGAAACATAAGTCCATGGGTAAATACAGCCTCAAGTAATTTTCGCATATTCGCCACATTTTTCACATTTTTTTAGTTGCAAGTAAGATGAGGTGCGTCCCACAACTACTTCAATGCTTCTACGTGCTTGGCTTTGCAACAAACTATATATACGGGTATAGGAGTATTCGTATTGTTTGGCCGGCGGCAGTTCTTGCTTCGGCACTTGGACACTTGCCAGTTAGAGAACTACGCGCTGAAGTACCTTTCAAATGTTACTCAAAACTTGCAATGCAATTTTCAAAATAAATAAACATGAACTTTTTCAATTTGTTCAAGGCGTCCCTACACATTTAAATAAGCGCCCAAGTGGCGTCAAATGTCCAACTAATAATTTGGGGAAGAAAGACAAGAAAGAGCGAAAAACTTTCCAAATTCTTGGCGCACACTTCACTTCACGCTTGGGGCAAAGTTTCGAAAGGCCGCCGTGTTCCGCTTGGCAGGATACAAACAAGAGAGGCTAAGTGCGCTGTCCAACCTGAGTGATGCCTGTACCTGTATCCGTGTCTGTGTGTGTGGCATTCATTAGAAATTCATTTATTTATGCGCCAACTTGCTTAACACAAATCCAAGCAAAGCGCAAGAACGTGACATTCATCGGACGGGAAAAAGTCAAAAAGAGGAATAAAGAAAAAGTTGGCAGCACTGCTTCTCTTATTTATACACTGTTCAGTGAAAGGGTATGCTCAGAAGTTTGGAATGCATGATTTTCTATTAGTTCGTCTGTCTGTATGAGCATCGCTTTCTCTTGCATTATACTAGCTAGAGACATAAAGTTTTTAATGTGTTTAGAAGTTTGGAATATTCGTTTGCCTGTTTATTTATTTGTTCGCCTGTCTCCCAGCATCTACCTCATTATCTCTTCATCCATAACATCTATGGACAGCAAATTTGGCATTTAGATTGCTCTTTTAAAAGCGCATAGCCAGTTTATTACAAATAATTAATATCCTCATCCAGGAATCACTTTCTTGCTAGAAGCGTGTGTGACGCGATAAGACCAATCGTATGTTTGTATGTCTGTATGAACATTGTTATCTTTTCAACTAAAACAGCTAAGAAATTGGTGAATACAACAAATAAATTAAAGCAAACAAAAATCATTCCTATGAAGAGAAACTTGTACAATATTGTAATCAAATTTGGCATTTAATTGTCACAATTTAAGAAGTAACATGAAAATCAATGCACTGCAAAAAAATTACATCTTTGTTTATTACAAAATCGTAACCAAATTCGGAATCGAATTTTTACGAGTAGTTGGCAACCTTGTTTTATGATTTATTTATATTTTATTTTGTGTCTGTGTGTGAATAAATTAACTGCTGAGCTATAAAGCTGCCATTGAAATGTGATCGGGCTTGTTAGGTAGTTACCTTTTGTATACATAATGGTAATCGTATTTCCCTAATTAAAAGTTTAAAACAAGTTTGTTTCATAGAGCATACAACTCTGGCCTTCTACTCGATACTAGTATTATATTTTTTGTGCGCACTGCTGAAGCTCCTAACTTTTAGACTGGCCCAAAACTTTTCACTTCCCCATCTCCCGATGTTTGATGTTATAAATTCTGTTATGCTTAAATTATGCGGCATTGTGCAGTGCCAGTCATGGCGTTGAATTAATGCTGACGGCAGTCGCACCAAAAGAGAACAGAACAGAACACAACAAAACAGAGAAAGAAGCAGCAGCCAGCAGAGGAGCTATGCCATTTGTAAATTCCTGTGGCATTTTCGGCTCCAGTGGCAAACAGTGCTTTGCATGCAACTTTGTCGCATTTGGCGGTTGAGTGGGTTTGTCTTTTTTTCTTCCTTGCTGCATTTTATGCGCTCTCTATTGTTGTGTTCTGCTCCTTTAGGGGACATTGTGCGACGAACAAACCCGCACCACATGACGTATGAGTGATTTATGTTTATGGCCACATGCCCCTACAGACGAATATTATGTATACGTCATGTTAGTGGCACCTAAATGAGCATTTAATTGCGTGCAAACATTTAATTGATTGCTCGCCTTCTTGTGCCAAGCATGGGTGTGAGGCTGTTAAAAAAAGCCAGCAAAGGAATTCTTGCTTAAGCTGTTATCTTAATTCTAAGTCAAGTCACTAAATTAAGCTTTTTATTAACACATTTGTATTCAATCGCCTTGTGTTGTATTTTCGAATAATTTAACTCGCTTTAACTTTAAGTTTGCCAACTAAACTATTATTTAAAGTTCCTTAGTGCATGACTTTATCCATTCTTTTCGGCTTGTCATGCAAAACTCGTGTCAGTTGCTCAGTTCGAATCTAAGTCCAAACTTATTACCCGAATCCCAAACGTAAAAATAAAGGTAACTTATCAAACGAAATGCCCAAAGAGAACAAAAAGCAAAAGAAACAAAACTCAATTTGTTTTGCGTGTGTGCCTGAAAAGCCTCTCCACTCAAACTCAACCTCAGTGGTTAGCACTTTCAATGAAAATTATGCAAATTTCTTTGGGAAAATAGTCGGAAAAGTTCTTTGTCGTGTTGTCATTGTCGGTGCGGTACGGCAGGCGTCTCTCTGCCATGTTAAACAAATGTAATAAATTTAAAAGCTTGTATGCTCGAGAGATAATAAACGTAAACGTCTTAAGGTCCTCCCTCTCTGATATCCCTGTGTTCGACTGGCTTTTTTGAAATGAGAAATGCCTCGACACCTAGCCAAGGTAGATGATGTTGACCAAGTCCTAACAAATGTCACTGGTAGTTCCTTTTAGGTTTGGAGTTGGCAGTTGATTGGCTAGCCTGCGGGGTGCCTTAGCTCAGACGAACTCGTTGCCCATTCACTTAATGAGCAGCACTACAGAAATAGTGGCTTTGAGTCCAATTTCATGCACTGGACAACACAAAAGGGTTAGGCAGGCGGTCTATCGAAGCTTTGTGGTCAGTCTGTCAGGGAAGGAAACTGAGCGGAGGGACGTAGTGCCAGGGAAATTCGAAATTTCCATCATTTATTTTAGTTATCGATGCACTATGCACTAACTATGAATGGGAAAAATGTACATAGTTTTTGAAACTTGTGAACAGCATTGAGTAATTGAATGCCATTCAGTAAAATGAAACTCAGTGGCCAGTGGCTGTTTGTTGTGGCTGCACAATTGAATGGTTTGCAAATCAAATTTCAACTTTAATTATTTCCTCTGCTGCCGAGCGGGGCGTATACGTGATATTTTAATGACACAATTTGCATTTAAATTGAAGAAGCTAATTAAACTATGCCAGGTGTAGATAGAAATGTCAGCTTACCTATCCATAAGATTTGGATTCCCGCCATGCTTACGCCAGAAGCTGCTTGGCTGTGACTTGAGGCGCACGGATGAGCTCGAGGAATGACGTAAAATGCCAGTACCGGAACTAGTGCCGCTGCCGCTTCTGCTTCCACCTCCTCCACCACCTCCACCACCCATAAAACGGAAACTGTTGCGTCCAATATTAGCTCGAGTTGCCGCAGAATGCGCTTCAGCTGGGCCACTGCCATTTACCACATTTCTAAAGCTGACGCCGCTAATACTTCGATTGCTGGTCGTTCGCTGTTGCATCAATTGTCGCTCTGAGGCATCGTTGTTGTTGCCACTGCCACTGCAACTGCCACTGCCACTGGTGATGCTGGTCGCGCGCTTTCCTCCACCACCACCACCACCGGATGCACTGTTGAAGTTGCGATTGCTGTCACTCATTGTGAGGAATTTGTTGTTGCTGTAAGTATTGCTCGTGAAGCTGCTGTGCATCTGCAACTGTTGCTGGCTGTGCTGAGGTCGAATGGTGAAGCGCCCGCCCAGCCTGCAAGTGAGACGGGAGAGTTGAAAGGCAATTGATTGAGTTAAAGCTGATTTGTTGCTATAAATGGTGCATTGATTGAACAATACCAGCTTTCAAGGCTTATAGGACGTACAAGTAGGTGGGTGATGCTTGTAGCTATGTGGCCTGAATGGAATGGAATCTTTGCAGTTGTCATAATAAATGAATGCATTTAAAAGCGTTTAAATAATTTAAATAAATCATTACCGTTCCTAAAATATATTTAAATATTTTTCAATTTGATTGTTAGTTTTTTTATACTAAATGTTGTTTCAGTTGCCTTTTAATTCATTGTTAGAAAAGTAGGTAGGATAGAATAAGATGGAGAATGTTGAATTGGACTAAGTACAAAAGATAGAAATATAGAATAAGGAAGAGAAACCATTGCATTTTAGTTCACAAGAAGGACGATCCTCCAAAAGTATGCAGTTCTTTATTTCAACTAGGTTGTATTTCCGTTTAAATGGCAAACGTTTAAAATTTGTTTAAAGCAATCACACTGCTCTAAAGCGTTGTCCGTAAGAAGTTTAACGCATAAGTGGTGACGATGAAATAAAATAATAATAAAATAAGAATTTTCACTTAAGCAAGTGGCTCTTAGAAACCACTTGGCGAGCGAAGTACTTATGTTAAGAGTTGGCAACAAAATTATATTAACCTTCTTAAGAGTACTTGTGCTATTGCAGTACATTTTAATCAACAATGCATATTAAAATTCTATGGCTTGAATAAAGTTAAAGAAAACAGAATGAACTTTACAGCACTAGTGGACATTTGTTTAAAACTGTTATGCGTTCAAATAGACACAAAATTAAGCTATCCAAAATGCCAAGCTATCGATTTGATAGAAATATTGTAAAAATAAACTTTCATAGAAAATAAATTATAGTTAAAAAAAACTTAAAAAAAACACGCTTTAATGGCAAACCGAACTAAAAAGTAAAAGTATTCACAAAAGGCTCCTTTTGTGCTCCTAGGTCTTATGGTCTCCGATATATTAGTGATTATACGAACGGCGTTTCCACAAATCCCGCATAGGGGTTCCCCCCTGGGGGGCATCTTTTTGCAAAATTTGGTGTCTCTAGCTATTATAGTCTCTGAGATTTTGAAGAAAAGTAGATGATTATGTATAAATTATGTGTGCAAAATTTGGTAAAGATAGCTTTTGAAATATGGACAGTATCAGTGGAGAGCGAAATTCTATAGCGTGGAGAGGGGAGGGAAAATCAAAAAAATAAAATAAACTGGTATAGACTAGGGACTAGGTGCGTCTGCATACCAAGTTTGGTTTACGTACGCTTAGCCGTTTCCGAAATCCAGGCGTTCATTCAGACAGACTGACGGACAGACGGACGGACAGACGGGCGGACAGAGGAACAGACGGGTACAGGGTATAATTATTATTTTGTGATAATATTTGAAACTAATGGAATATTCTCTACACTTATTTTGTGCTTTCTGTACTTCTTATACTTTGATATTTCTAAACAAATTGTTTTAAAAGTGGTCATATGTTTAGCACATTTCAAGTTTATTCTTCAATTAATAATCGAATTTCATTATTGTGCATAGTTTCATTTAAAGTGTTGCAAGAAGATGACCTCAGAGGCCAGCCATTCGGGCTAATTCTATTTACATTGCTCATACGCAGCGTTGTGCGGGCCCCGCATTTAGTTGGCACATTTGTGTAGCCACTCGCATGCAACGATTTTCATTTATGAATAATTTATTGATATCGATTTGTGCTGCTCCTGCTGATGCCAATGCCGCTAATGCTGGTCAGTTTTGGTAGCCAACTTTTGCGCCCAACAAAGGTGCCACAGCTAGAGTTAGTTTGTTAGTTCTGCTTGAGGCAATGATGCAACTAATTGGATTTAGTTATGTACATACGATATATGCACCTGTGTGTGTGTGTGTGTGTGTGCTGTTGGTGTCTGTATGTGTACGAAATGTCAAAGTTTTCAGAACTCACCGTCGAAAGAGTTCACTCTCGGGATGTTCGGCGGCAAAGCGCGCCTTCTTTCGCAACAGCGGAATTGTGAGAGCATAAGTGGTTACCATCATTAGCATTGGTATGTAGAAGGCCACCAGGGAGCCGAACACGAAAAATGCACGATTGTTGATGACACAAACATTCGGCTGCGGCATGATGTTCTTCGTATTGACAAGGCCTGCAAAATGAGAGCACCGGAGAGAATTGACATTGACATTTATACGTGTATAGTATTCTTGCATGAATAGCCTTCGCTTACCAAGGACTGTGATCGAACTCGACACTATCATGGCCATCACCCAGACAATGGCGATTTTAATGCCAGCCAAACGTTTTGTGGAACGATGTCGAGAGCCCAATGGATTCCGTATGCCCAAATATCGGCCGAGGCTAATGAAGCACATGTGTAAAATGCTTGACGAGCAGGCGAGCACATCACAGGTCACATAAATGTTGCACCACGTAAAGCCAAGTGGCCAATATCCTGCGAAAAAAAGGGGAAAGGGTTAATTAACAGCGTAGGGAGAGCACCCCACTCGTCTGTGAAACTGCGAATGAAATGGCAAAAAGTGTATGGCATGCAAATCAAGGTTAATTGAAATTGGAAAATGGAGAAATGGCAAAAAGAGAGCGGTATAAATGGCACAATGCATCGAAATGGAATTGTTTATTGTGGTTTATGTGGCTCTGTGGTCGCTCGATAAGCGACGGCAGCTCTGTTTGGTAACTGTGTGGGTGTGGTCTGTGGCTGCCTGCTGGCTTATAAATGAGCTCTATATATGTTTAAAGACCTCTACCACAAGAGAAATGAAGAGAAAACAAGAGCGAAAGGAATAGAAGGTAGTCAAAGGGTCTGGTGGCAGATGCTCAAATATTTGTTGCTGTCCTCTATTTCGCGCTGTCTTTACTTTTCCACGCACACCGCTTTAGTTGAAATATAGTAATTGCCAAACAAGTTCATTTTCATATGTTGGACACCAATGCACAAATTAAATTAATTATTAATAATTATTAATAATAATTATTAAATTAAGCAATCCAAAATTTTGAAAATATATTTAAAATGTTTGTGAAAAGTTAAGTAAAATATAAACAAATAAAAAGTTGATAAATATATAAAGAGATAAATAGAAAACTACATAAGTAGATGAACAGATAAATAAATGAATATAAAAAAGAAATAAATAGACAAATAGATTAGAAGATAAATAGAAAAATAAACAAGTAAATAAAGAGACAAAAAGATAAACAGATAAATATACAAGTGTATGAATAAATAAATAGATGAATAGGTAAGTGAAAAAATAGGTAAAAAATAGATAAAAAAGAAATAAATAGACAAATAGATTAGAAGATAAATAGATAAATAAACAAGTAAATAAAGAGACAGAAAGATGAACAGATAAATATATAAATGGATGAATAAATAAATAGATGAATAGATAAGTGAAAAAATAGATGGATAGATAAATGCATAAGTGGACAAATAGATAAAAAGTTGAAAAAATAAATAGATGAATTTATATAGATAAATAGATGAATTTATATAGATAAATAGATGAATTTATATAGATAAATAGATTATTTTATATAGATAAATAGGTGAAGAGATAAATAGACAAATAGATTAGCACATAAAATGGTAAATAGATGAATAGATAAAAAGATGAATAGATAAATACAGAAGTAGATAATTGAATGAGTTACATACTGATAACTAAATAGCTGAATAACTAAATAGACGAATAGATGAATAGCATATAGATAATTAGATAAATAGAGAAATAGTTCAATAGATAAATAGATACATTGATACATCGATAAATTGATAAATAGATTGTCCTTGTGTTGTCGCTGTAGTCGGGCACCTTGACATCGATTAGTAGCCGACACAAACACACGTCCAGGTCCGCAAATAAATACACAGTCGACATACAATTAGTGCAAATAGTCGAACTGCAGCCAAGCACGGGCTATCGAAGGAGCCAAGGAGAACAAACAATCCAATAATCCGCTCCGAGCTGATCACTGCCAATATGTTTGCCAAAGGCTAATAGCAAATTTAGTATTAATTAGTACAAATTGCGCTTAAATACGTTGTGCTCGTTACACTCTATTAAGCGCACACTGTTGGTTTTTGTCTGCTAATTGTGGGACACAAACACATGCGTAAATATGGCCACTCAACACACACACACACACACACACACACACACACACACACACACACACACACACACACCCACCAACCCATTTACACATTCGAAACTGACAGAAGGAGGACACTATCATATGGTATTTAGTTTTATAAGCTTGTCATTCGCATGCCAATACCGTCAATGGGAAGGAAGGATGCTGTTGAAAGTGTATGTAATACGTATACGCCATGTTGTGCACATTTGTGTGTGTGTGTGTGATCGCCAGTCTGACTGTCTGTTATTGTCACCTAAAATAGACGCAGACAGTAGGCTTCAAATATTTAACAGAATGCGTTTCTATATATAGTCGACGGCTGTGTCTCAAAACAAAACAAATAGGGCATTAGCTATGCCGTTATTTTCATTGTTTATAAATACATTATTGCTAATGACTGTTGAGAAGCAAACAAAATCAGAATAAACTATGTGTCTCGTCAGTTACTACAAAATAAAATGGAAACAGCTTTTAGTGATAAAAACCCCTTCAATTACGTCTGATAAACCAAACTAGAGGCACGCAGGAAAATAGCTCGTGAAACAGAAATACTTTACACAACAACTAGCAGTTCCATTTCCGTAGTTCTACTCTAGAGCTTAGTACAAAGCATTAAACATCTACAACCCAATGGAATCAAAGCCGATTTTCAAGAGTCACAGTTAATGCCGAAATCAGCTAAATCTGTCCAGGGCTAGGGATGAAGAAAAAAGAGAATATACATACAAGTATATGCGAAAAAACTAAATCTGAAATAAAAACTAAGGCTCCACACACTTGCCAAACAGTCCCGTCCTGTTTGTCGCTTAAATGTTGCTTAATAGGCTGGTGCGGGGCGGGGCGGGGCGGGAAAGAGCGTGCAATGCGCGGCTTGTGGTTTGTTATGGCTAAGACCACACTTCAGGCTTTTAGTTACATTTAGTTTGCTATTGTCGCTGTTGTTATTGTTGCTGTTGTTTTTTCGGCTACAAGCAACTTGAGCGTAAAAACAAAGCCCCTCCCCACGCCAAATAACCCCGACATCAACAAAAGTGGCAAAACAAAAATTACGGCTGTAGAGACGAAAAAAAAAAACTGTTGCATAAGGCGCGGCGCCAGTAAAAGCGCGCGCAAAAAGCTTAAGTGCTCTAGAGCCAGCAAGAAAAAAGGAAGCAAAGCAAACTGTGACAAATAAACAGAATGAAAGCAGGGAAATTGAAGCCACAAAAGCGGCGAGATCAGACAAAGGCTAAAATGTGCCAGCATGCTTGGGTGGCTTGGCATTTGAGGGGGGACTGACAAATTATAACTCTAGGTGGGATTAAACACAAAATTGCTAGCTTTACTTCACACTAATGAGAAGAAACATTATGTGGATGAAATGCTGAGCTGCTGTTAAGCAAGAGCTGAGCATTTAATATGCATTTTAATTGTTACAAATATTGCTCAAAGGTACACTTGAATGCATTTATTTTAATGTTACAATTTAAGAAATGTTTTATAATTTACAGCTGTCTTGATTTCTAATACATTAAAATTGATCTGAATTGATGAAAATTCCACTAAAGCTAAAGCTTGATTAAAATGAAAACGTTATTCTCTCATTTCCTTTAATTAATACAGCAGCATGCGTGAGGTTCTGGGAATTAAAATTGCTAGCTTTGTTTTTGTTGATTTTTAATACAAGAATTTTGTTCCACTAGTCTCGTACATATCAGATATTTTTCAAATGAAAAATGTAGTTCCTTTATTTCCCTTAAGTAAAACTGCCATATGCGTAAGATTCTTCGAATTGAAAATGCTGCTGTTGCTTTCCCCCGATTAATTGCAGCATCTTTATGATAAGCCAAAGTAATTCCTCACATGTGTGTGTGTGTGTGTGTGTGTGTGTGTGTGTGTGTGTGTGTGTCTTACATAAGCCATATGGCCATAAATATAAATTTAAAGCGGCACTCGTGTCAACAACATCCTCAACCCCATCCCATTTCTGGCCACAGCTGTCACAAACAACTGACAGCTGGCCGGCGCTCGACATTTAAACCAATTTGGTTGAAGTTTTTTGCGCATGTTTTGAGTTTTATGAAACCACGCCACACTACTCTAAACTCATTTGTTTATTGGGTTATCCGCAGCGCCTAAGAGTAGACTACACTCAAATGAATGTCAGAAGCAGTGGACTGTGCGTCCAAAGCACTGACTGTAAAATCATGTTTGCTAATGCCATTTGGCTACCTCGTATTTCGCTATACTATTACATACTATATACTCGTACGTTTCTCCGTGATTCGATGGCGCTCTCTATGGGGATGGGCTATGGGTTAAATTATGCAAACGTTTGATCTGTTCATGCCACGTTGGTTTTGTTGACTTAATATGCAAACGCGGCTTATCGGCGTCAAATGCAAATTAGTTTCGAATTAAACATTTGGCGCATTTTCTACTCAGCCCCAATGGTTGCTATTTCAACTAAATTGTGTGGTAGTTGGTTGAAATTTAATCTGCATGGTGAAATGCGAAGTTAAATTTATTGATAGATTTCAAAATTAAGTTACTCATCAATGAAATATTATACTCATTCATCTAGTATAACTGTTTTACATTATTTAATTTTTAGTTTTAGACAATATACAATATTGTTGTGAACAAGTGTGGATTTTAAGGATGATTTAAAGCAAGTAGGGTGATTCTTCTCGCCTACAGCTCCAACTGCCACAGAAGTTAAGCGTTGGGTAAATACTTGGCAGCTGTTTAATAATGCGTTGGACCTTATATCGCATTAGAAAATGAATATTATGGATTAAATACAAATTTAAGTGGAATATACTACACTAAATTTGCCTAAAAAATATAACATGATTATAATTATTATTATTCATTAGTATAGTTTGATTAAGTCTGCAGTGCCCTTCAACTGCTGGAGACTGCATGATTCCAAACACATAGCACTTGAACCGTAACTAAAAATTAACTGATTAACTGATTGAATGCACTTTCTGGGCATGCTTGAAATTCTCTACAAAATATTTGCCTTGATTAGATGATTGGGAAGAATTTGTTACTTAGTTAAAGTATGAATATTAAAATTCTCTATAAAATATTTGACTTCATTAATTAGTTAAAGTATGAATATTAAAACAGAACTTCATTAGGCTTTATAGTCAGCAAAGGTAATTCTCAAATTAATTTAACATGAACAAAATCTAGTAAATGTACTTCAAATCCTTGATATTGATATCAATAAATATAAATTGATATAATTAATTTAACAATTATTTCTTTTGCAAAAAGATAGTGCAACTCCACATTTGTTATATCAACTTGTTATATATGCGTTCAAACTACACTTAGTCAAGTGTTGCAAAATGTTGTCGGGCACTTCTAGTTTGGTTTTTGGCCCAGTTAAAAAAATAATTATTTTGGCCATGTGCACACTCATTAAATAGCGCGCACACAAAATCACGCTCATATGGCCAAAGTAAACAGCAGTCGGCAAGTTTTTACAGCTGTGCGCAAAAAATGTAAGTAGCCGGAAAGTCAGATGGGAACGAATCATACTCTGAGCAAATACCCAACCATCGAGCAGCTAGAAGCTGCTCTTGAGCATGCCCGGCAAAACAAACAGACAGACAGGAGCCCTAATGGCGACAGACAGTGGTTAAAAATATTCAAAAAGGTGGGAATTAAATACCCGGAAATAGGAGGTGCTCTTTTTTCTATGGTGGTTTAAATACTTTTCATAAGTGGAGGATTAATTGAATTAAATATTAAAATATCTGTTAAAATTAATAAATCAAATAGAGTTAGATTTATATGAATTAGGAAGATTCATATTATAATAAACTGTTTTTATAGATTTTCAAAATTCAATCAATTCAATTTTTCTATTTTTCCATATAACATTACTTTATTTAAATTATTATTTATTTAGAAATTATTGAAAATAAGCTTATCAGAATTTCAAGTTTAAAATAAGAACAATTTATTTTTAATATTTTTGGAATATTATTTTCCTTTTGACTTGAATTAAATAAAACTATAAAATTTGCAGAATATGTAACAAAAATGAAAACAATAACTATAAAAAAACATATTCCAATTGTAAAATATACATTTGAACTTAGACTGTTCCGAATCGAAGCAATTACAAATAAAACAAATTTTTTAAATCCAGAATTTTTAAAAACATAAACGTTATTGCCAATAACTTGTCATTTTAGTTGTTCGTTCGAATGTTCGTCTAATTTTATAGTTATCATTTAATATGTCTAGCAAATGAAGGAATGTTTTATTTGGCATAGCAAATAGTATAAGCTAATATATAACTACTTAGAAATATTTTACCCAATATATATGTGTGTATCTAGAAAGTTGGCAAACAAAGAAAAATAATGCAATTTAGTTTTAAATTTTTTAAAAACTCTGAGCATGCGAGGGTTTATTACATCAATTATAATTTGAGCAATATTTAAAATAATAAGTAACACAATTCCCAGAGTTTACAATTAAGCGAAAAGGGCAACGTTATGAATAAACTCAGTGGGTTATGGGTATAAAAAAATGTGTGTGTGATATCTGGAAATTGCAATTTAATTCAAGATAATAAGAGATGAGCAATTTCGCGCACTGTGCGGGCATTATAAGAATGAAGATGATTGCGAAGAAAATAATTCATGGTACACGCACAAACCACAAACAACTTTTGTGCAATGTGGCACATGCACCAACCAGTCGGGGCAAGTCAACTCAAGTCGAGCTCAAATGGCAAATGTCAAATGTCAAGTGTCGAGTGTCGAGTGTCAAATGTGTAGCGTGGACTGTCAACATTGATTTGGTACTCACCGAGAAATGCGGGTATGGCGCCCATGGGCATGACAAACAAACTGACAAGTAGATCGGCGATGGCCAACGAGAATAGGAAATAGTTGGTTACGTTCTGCAGCTTTCGATCCAATGCGACCGCCAGACAGACGAGTATGTTGCCCAAACCTCCAGCGAATATGAAGAAGACCACAAAGATGAAGAGCCACTCATAGCCGTGCGGCCTATAATCTGCGAAGCTTGTTGTTATGACCGGGTCCGTTGCTGTTGTTGTTGTTGATGTTGTCGTTGCAATTGTGGTTGCTGTTGTGAGCGTATAGTTGGCCAACATCATGTCCAGACCATTCATAGTGCTGGCGTTCTCCATACTGCTGCTGGCATTGGAGATTAGTTCGCTAAAATTCAGCCACGACCAGAGACCAGAATCGCCCAAGCTGATCTGATATTCACTATCCAAGGCTGTAACTGTGGCCGTTGCCTCCAGCTCCAGTTCCAGCTCCAACTGCTCGGCCTGCTGCTCCTTCGCGAACTGCAACTCCAGCTGCCCCTCCTCAGTGGCATTGCCAGTGCCCTGCAGGTAACAGAGAAAAGCCTGCGAGCTGTTTGCCACCTCACAGAGCAGCGAATTGACAGAAATGCTGTTGGTGCCACTGCCACCACCGCTGCAATTGCCGAATGTCGTACTTAAACTAACGGTATCACTCACATTATCACTTGGCATTGGTAGTGGCATTGGCATTGCAGCCTCGTTGACGGCGAGCTGAAAGTGTTTGTATGCCTCATGGACTGCTGGCGCCGTCTCCAGTTGCAAGCTTAGAGTGTCGCATGTTGGTGTTCCGACTTCTGCCCCATTGCAGGCATAAAATGCTCTTTGCTGCTCCCCATCGAATGTTTCCAGCATGCAGTGGAATGTGTTATTGCTAATGATGTTGTTGTCTGCTGTCTGGTCTCCTCCAACAGTTGCCACATCGTTCGGCGCACAATTGATAAAAGGCTGCAACACTTCATGCCACGCCCTCTGCGCCAAATGACAATTGAAGGCGCGTGGCGTAGGCGAAGGCTTTGTTGATGCTGTTGCTGTGGTTGTTGTTGCTGTTGTTGGTCCATGACCAGCTCTGCTTTGCATCTCCATTTCATTCTAAAGCTGTGTTGCACAGTTGCATATACGTATCTGGCACGTCTACAGTCAGCTGTGTGTGTGGTTGACTGATAAACTTTAGCAGCTTGTTAGTTAAGCGGATTGCTGCAAAGAGCTGCAAAAAAGAGAAAAATTGAATTCGTTAATAGTCGACCGTGGCTCTGCTCTGATATCCTTGTAAAATTTCATGTAAGCTGACTTTTCCATGTGAAAGAGCTTTCATTTTCACTTTCTAGCATTCCTTATCAGCAACATCAAATTTGGGTTAATCGTTTGGCCAAGACAAGCAGCAATAATTGTTGGCATCCCCTTTATTTTTAATTAAAGTTAATAATGAGATTTGCGCACATTTCTTAGTTGACTGAACAGCGCCGCTTTGAACGTTTAAACGCTTTCTGATTTTTATAGAATGGCCATTAAATGTAATCGCTTAGCATGGAAAATAGAAGTGTATTTAAAATATAATAATATTATATTACTTTAATATTGTTTTATTTTTACAAACTTATAATTATAGTAAAATGAAAAATAATTTTTAAAGTGCGTTTTGGAATATAGAATAAGCCAAAAATTATATCGAGTTTTTTTTTTTAAATATAAAACACGCAATAAAATGTAAATTATTTAGAGTTTTTAGTAAAGTTATTTCGATGGTGTATAGGAGAGAGCTGTGTTTATTATTTTAATCGTAATCTGTTATAACGTAAATAATTAACAAAGTTTGTGATGTTTTCAAATAGTAGCTGTCGAATTCTCAAGTGGAAGGAGAGTCCTTCTGGAAATTGGCTGCAATGCTAAAGAATTGGTGCCCAACCCTGTTCAGAAGTTAACTCTGGTTGGTGCTTCGATCTGAAGACTAACTTTTTTGTGTCTAAAATATACTTATCCATCGCGTTTGGATTGGTGCTAGATAGATATGTACTTGTATGTAGATTGATAAAGGAGAACATTTTGCTGCATTGATAAATGATTTTTTGTCGGTAGAAGAGCTGTATCTATTGGCAAGTCATCGATTTTTCAACTTCACGAAGAGTGGCCATTGCCCGAAATTATATTATATTTAGATATTGGAATTAAATATTGGTTTAAAATATGCTTTCTTTTATAGTTGTACTTGTACAATACTTATTGTACGTGATGCTCAGAATAAGAAAGTCAACAAATATAATTAAATCTTGGTTTAAATAAGAAAGGCAACAAATAGTCGTTTAAATTAGCAATCCCATTCTGATTCTATTCCCCTTAATCGAGTTTTCAAAGATAATTTTCTGGGTTAAGGCTTGTTCTGGGATTATAAAAGGCTTGATTTATATTACAAGTACATTTGAAAAGCCCAATATTTTGAGTAAATCGTCCGCGAGAAGAGAAAACCAATACTATTTTCTATATGTATGTCCGACCACCAAACCTTAATCAGATGTTGCAGCTTAGTAATTAGCTTGCCACGCAACACGATGTCAGCCGATAATATGCGGGGGACGTGATACATTCTGGCCATTTCGTTAATCAACAAATGTGATTAGTGCTTCTGTGCGGCATAGTTTTGTGGTTGTGCGTCAATAACTAATTAGCCACTGTGGCAGCTGCAACAGCAACAGCAACAATGTGCATTAAAAACGAAAATAAATGCTGTCGCAGCGAGAATGCAAACGCCATCATGCGTGCAATATATCATTATGGCAATAGTTCCACCCACTCAGCGCGTTGACAGCGCAACGAAGATGCGACTTTTTCAGACTGTCGCCTGCAATTCGGTTGAAATTCAAATTTGCAGCAAATGGCGCAACAACAAAGAGCTTTGCAAATTTACACTCGCACTCACACACACACACACACACACACAGCAAGAGAAAGCAACGGCAGTGCCCTTCAATTGCATGCCCATCCTGCCTAGCTTTTTTCCCGCTAGATCTGGCTTTTTTCGAATGCCAGTGCGGGAAAAATTCGAAAATAGTGGGTTGCGGGAATTCTAGCTTTAAAAAATTGGTTTAGCCTTCTTCTAGCTTTACTTTATTTTTCACCATATATTTTTTCCTTATCTTTGTTAACTCTTAAAATCATGCATATAAGCAGTGATAAACGACTTTCGATAATAAAATCTATCAAAATCATATTCTTCGCTGCGTTAAGATATGTCTAAAGTGTAAAAGCAAAGTGTTCGCGAAGTGGAGCGGGTCTTCAGCCTTGGTTAAATCCAAATTAAGAAATGGGTGAATTTAAATACGCTTAACTCCATTTTAAGCTTAAGTTATGTTTTTTGTAAGCAAAATTAACCATATTCATAATTAAATTAATTAAAACTGAACTGAAACTGAACAAGTGTAGAATTTTTAGCTTGATTTTAATGTGAATATTCTATTATTTTTTTTTTACAAGAATCTCATTATTATTATAAATTATGAATTAAGAATATATAATTAATACGAAAACATAAAAACAGATATTTCCTTAAATTTAACCAAGAAAATAGTGTTGTCTTGGATTTAGCTTTTTTTAGCTTTATTTTTTTTTTTTTTTGGCAATCTAACTGTTTTCGCTCAAAAAATTATGACAGCACTGCCAGTTGTCGACGCATGTTGAACAGCTTTTTGTGTAAGGCAGCCAGCACCCACGCCTAGAACGCTGCAATGCTTTTTCATGCACTTGTAAATGGGTGCATTATACGATTTGTTGGCGTGTGTTTTGCCATGAAATGGTGCAGTGAGGGCTAGGGAGAGGGGAGAGAGTGGATTCTGTGCAGTTACCATGCATATGATAAGCCAGCCATAGTTCCGACTGCAGTCTGTGTTTGTTTATGTGCGACCCATACAGTGATATCTGCCTGCTACGAGACACAGTCGTGTTGCAAAAAAAAAAAAAAATGAAAAGAACCCGGACATTTGTATTTTTTTTTTTTGTGCACTATATCTGATTGTGTTTGATTTTGATGTTTGTGTTCACAAAACTTGTAGATGGAGCCATTTCTGTGGAAATGTTTTATGGTTCACATTTTTAGCACACAATAGAGTCCTCCTTTCTATTTCATTTTGTTGGGAAATTCCTTGGAAGATTTCGTGCTCGACTGCTGCTGCTTTTGTGTTGTTTGTGTGGACATTTTTTTTCCGTGCGACCTTTCGTGATAATGAGCTGACACCCTCGCAGATGCGCGCTTGTTTACACACACACAGATACACACACACACACCTACGCCGCATCATCCACTCAGCCACTGCTCACGGCACAAAAAGTTAATTAAAAATGCAAGAGATTTATGCAGCTGTTGTCCTGGCAGTGGCAGTGGCAGTGGTTGAGGCTGAGGCTGAGCCAGCGTTGGCGGCGACAGCTCGACGCCTTAACCGAGTGAGGCAGGTTGCCACATGGCACTTGGCACTTGCCACACGCTGGTGTGGTGTCTGTGCCGTTTACAAGTTTAAGCCAAGTAAATTAAAAAGGAACTGTGGCTGCCACAACGTGTGGCATATGTGCGGCTGGGCGTCGCTTTCGTTAATAAATAAATAAATTTAAATTATGCACAGCAGCTTTTTTGTTGTGTTCTGATGTCAGCTGCACAAGCGGGCATGCAAATTTTCGTTGGCCAAACAATTTGATGTCGAAACTTCGCAGCAATGTGTACGCCACGCAGTTGCTTGTCACAGAGGCTATTCGAAAAATGTGTTTAACCGCAAATGCCAGCAAACAGCAGCAGCGTGCAGGGCCAACAAAAATGTATATTGTTGTAAAATGTTGATCAAAAAAAAAAAAAAACATGCATTTTGTATGCACAAAGGGTGATGTGATGTGGTTGTGGGGGGCTTATATGTACGAGTATGGAGCGGGATTGATGGGCGTGACTGACGTGCCTTTGATGTTGGCTAAAAGTGCAAAGAGCTGGCAAGTGATTTGGCCAATCAGCCGCAGCAAAAGCGTGCCACCCGCAACCACACACATACACACATGCCACTAGAGCTTCGGTCAGACATGCAAATAGTTCACAAAAAAAGTTTGTTTTGGCTTTTTGGGCCATAGATGCAACTCAACAAAGCTTGAGATCAACTAAGTCTGCTTTATGGAGTCAAAATCAAAAGAAAAGCCATGGTCAGACAAGCAAACAATTTGCACACAAAAAATTGTTGTCGCTATAGAGCCGCTTGAAGTTCAAAATATGTTTCAAATTTCTATTTGTTTTTATCAAAGTAACGAATTAAAGCATAAATTCAGGATATTCTGACTAAAGCCTTTAGCCTCTTAGCCTGTCAGCACAACTTTTACATTCTTGTGCCAAAAGGAAAGTTTTGTATAATTTTCGTTTTTAGTTTCCCGCTTTCAATTGCTTTTCGCATTATTATTTTGAATTGCATTTACTTGTCGCCTCAACTGTTGGCACCACTCGCAGCACTCGAGTCGGAGAAGTTGTTGAGACAACAACAACGTCAGCGCAGTCCAACTCACCCACTAAGGGGGCCATATAAAAATATATGCGTATAGAAAAAAAAAACTTACTTTGACGGCGTTTGCGGCTTAATTTGAGTTGCGCCCACACATACTCATAGCGTCACTTTAATGATGTCGTTGCAATTTAAAGACACACCGCACCCACACATATAGCGCACCACAAGCTCTGCTGCACGAACGACACACATTCCTATAGACTGTATTAGTGGCAAGTGGCGACACTATTGAGATTGCTAGTGCCCCGTTCTTTTTAGAAATTCGCACAAAAATGCTCAAAGAGATTTGTGATTGGAGATTAAAGATGTTTGATTCCAGCTAAGGAATGCTGTAATTTGTAATTGCGATTAGGTCGTGCTTTAAGGAAGCGTCAGGGAGTTGATTTAAAACGAACAATATACGAGCCACAACCCCTGCTGATCGAACAACACACCTATAGTCTGTTTTACGGGCGTACCACTAGTGGCAAGAAGCGACACATTTGAGATATCGTGCACCCTTCCTTTTATGAAATCCTATAAAAAGAGAGATATGTGTTTAGAGATTAAAGATTATTACTTTTAGCTGAGGAATGTTGTTATTCATAATTGCGATTCGGTCGGGTTGTAAGGTGGCGTCAGAAAGTTGATTTAAAAGGAACAATAGAGTATATGAGACGATCTAAGCGGAAGAAGACAACTTTCTAGA